AAACCTAACCCCACACCTGGAACATGCATTTGGACCCGTGGGGACCTGACAGTGGTCCCCACGATTCACTTTGGTCCCCACCTGGCTGCTTTTTTTGTAAAAAAAATACCCCACGTTGTAGGAAAAACCCACACACACACACACACACTCACAGGTTTGTTTTTATATCCCCTTAGGGACCATGGATTGACTTCCATTCACTTTCTGGTGATTTTGTAGCCAAACCCTGACCATTTGCCCTAAAATTAACCTTACAGGTTTCTACCTGACCCTAAAACTAACCTAAACTCAATTCACACCTTGGTCCTAAACCTAACCCCCCCATGCAAAATTAGCATCTGTATGTGCATCGTGGGGACTGGGCATTGGTCCCATTATAGAGGATATAAAGGTCCTCTGAATCAAAGTGCTCCAAGTTGGTTCCTTGCAGAAGCCATGAGTGAATGTTTCACTGCCGAACAAGACATGGATGAGATATTTTCAGGAGCTCAGGAGGAACAAGAGGATGATGCATCTTCAGATGATGAAGAAGAGGACATTGCTCAAGCTGACAGAGACACGTTTTTGTAAAAGAGCCACAAAATTGCATGGTCCTCATCAAATTCAGACWGCAACCAGGGAAGAACAGCAGCATCAAGTATAACAAGAATGACTTCGGGGCCAACAAGGTATTTGGCTGCCCTTGTCCAGGACAGTTCATCCACCTTGATCATCACATCAGCCTTTGAAAAAAACCATCCTGGAGTACGGATTTGGAGAGTCTTCTGAAAATATGGAGAAAACTGGAAAAATATGGATGAGCTAGACCTGTGTGGCTACATAGGGCTTTTGATATTAGCAGGTCCCGTGGCGATACTGCACGTAGTCTCTAGGATGCAGAGGGTGGAAGAGCAATATATTGTGCCACAATGCCACAGAAAATCAAACTTTCTCAAGAATGCTGAGAGTTTATAACTGAGTCCAGACCAGCAAGGTTTGTGACGGACAGACTGGCAACCATCAGAGTGATTGTCTTTTTGTATTATGTAACAAAAATTACATGATAAAATAATTAATTAAATTGAGTTGAATTGATAAACAGCAGATTGTTTCATCATGCAAAATAGATTTTGCATTTAAAATTCAATTAAGCTGCTTTATTTTGGGACTTTGGTAGAGCAGGTCATTTTTGACCCGTAGGACAAGGGSTGTAAACAGGATGTTAGGATCGCACAAGGGTTAAAAAATACAGAATGAGCCTTTGTGTTGTTTTTACACTTCCATACACTCTTCCTGTGTCCCTGCTTCAAAGTTTCTGATACATACACCTCCAACTGAGCTGATGAACAATCTGTTCTTGTCTTTAAATGTGACTAATTGTTGCAAACTTTAGCTGATTTTTCTTATGCATTGTAAAACCAATACTTATTCCACAATTTATAATTTTTCTAATTGTTTTCCGTAGTTGTTTTAGTGTTTAAAACAATCATAACTGCATACCTACACAGTCAGACTCTTTGTATATTTTTGTATTCAGATCTGTACAGGTGACAGAAGTCATCCTGTTACACCACTTTATATTTTATGTCTGTAAATGAAACATGATCATGCTGTCTGTGATCAATACACTGCAGTTTTTGGCACAAAAGTACAGAACGTTTATCATGTAATACAGTATTATCAACACACTAAATAATGTTTAAACAAATATTTAATGTGAATTAGTTTAAATATTCTTGGCATGCAGCAGACATCTTTGTTTGATTTTTCACTCAGTACACTTTTGAAATTGATTTTCTAAATGCAAATAAATTCACCGAGTTATGAAGGAGCTCTGTTTCAAGGTCAGGTTTGCCAAACAAGATGTAGCATTGCTGAACAGTGTCAAACAAAGAATTACTCAAATTTACAGTTGGCTTTTTGCCCTCCTCGTGTCCCTGCTAATCAAAACATATTGCAGAGGTTTGGCAGTGTTTTGGGTACCGTCAGCTTGTTTGGGGCAAAAATGAATTTTCTTCTGAGTCAGCCACCTCATACGGAAAATTAATCCAAGAGTCAAAGCTTGGTTCATCCAGTTGATGCTTGCTGCTCAGTCTGTAACACAGAAATCAGTGGTGATAATATTTCCTCACATTAAGGGAAATTGCAAACAGCTGCAGTAAGGAAGCATTAAAGCACTGCAGCAGCAGGGTAGGCAGATCAAGGACCAAGAGAGGAAACCAAGTAGCTTTTTGTTATCTAATTTTACTTGCTCTAATAATTGTAAAATAAAGAAAAAAAACTTACTGTTTATGATCAAATGAGCCATAATCACTACATTGTTAAAATGTTAATGTTGAAAATTTTGGAATGCACTGTGTGTTGTGGTTTCTGTCACATACAGTATACACATCTGATATGTATGGAGATAAACAAGTCTCACAGTGCAAGTATGCACAGACGGCAAGATTTGAGTGAACATATCAAGATGTCCTTGCTGGAGTGTGACATAATTTTTCTTTTGAATAATGACGAGATGAAATGACATAGAAATTAAATACTTTTTGCTAGGGATGCACAGATATGAAAATTTCAGCCAATGTCAATATCCGATGTTATTATTGGTGTTATGGCCCATAACCGATATTTACCGATATTACACAAACAAACAAATTATTTACAGTTTATACAATGTATATAAGTAATGCATATTGTATGTATATTTTACATATACGCACAAACACACTTGTGTCTTATTTTTTGGTACCGTAAATAAACGACCAGACCTCTGACATGRCTCCCTACTTCAGGTAATCCTGGCTGTACATCGCCAATGCCATGATCATGATCAAACAGATCCAAACATTTCGCCTACCAAAACAGAAAAACAAACTAAAAAATGGAAAATCAATATCGGACATTATTTTAGGCCCCGTTTTACATAACGGGCCGATACCGATATTCTAAAAAAATGACCAATATCGGATGATACCGATGTCAATGCCGATATATCGTACATCCCTACTTTTTGCACTTATAAAATGTAAAGAGTAGAAAGTACACATAATCGCACAAAGTTTTAAGAAGTAAAAAGTTGTAAGGGAAAATAATTATGCCAGTAAAGTACAAATAACCAAGATTTCTACTTAAATAAAGTAAAAAGTATCTGCTTTTCTGTGAATGTAACATGGTTTAACTAATTTCCCTCTGGGATCAATTAAGTATTTTTTTGAATTGAACTGAAGTAAACTTTGTGACAGTCACATAAACTGCCTTGATCAACATACAGTTTTACATAAAAAAGAAGAACTACCTAAAGTGGCRTATTGTCTTTCCTTAACGTCAACAATTGCTAACAAAATGTAAATATTAGTTTTTGTGCTTGTGCTGGTAATAGTTTGTATCAATATCAATGTTGTTTTTAAATTTTTTTTTGGGCTGCTTCCATATGTAATGGTCGCCACAGTGAGTACACTCACTTGAAAGATGTGGTGAATGTTTTACGCCAGATGCCCTTTCTGATGCAACCTATGCATTTATATTAAGAAACGACCAAAACGCACATACAGCTCAGTGTAGAAATGCACCGTCAAGCTTCAAGATCTTGGTTCTTTGTTGAGCTAACTGTGCCGTGACAAAACCAGTTTGGTTTGGGACTAAATTTATTCACATGATCCAAACCCATAGTTGTATTCTCAGATCTCTTTGTTGTCTACTCTTTGGATTGGTTCTACTGTGACTTAAACCAAGATTATTTGCTTTCATATTTCATGGGATGACAACTACTGGAACACACACAGAAGAACACGCACACGTGTGTCTTCAGGCTGCRCACATATTTGCTCACGGTACACGGTGTACTAAATCAAAATGAATCTACATAGATCAGGATGAGGCTGTTCTAATTGACACTGAGGCTCTAAGGCGGCATGGCCACCATACCACGGACACATCCTATCACTGGACCCAGATGTCTTTATGCTGTAAAGGTGGATGCAATAAGATAAAGAAGTCTGAAACCAGTTGTTGAAACCTCATTGCTCAGACTGTTGAGTGTGTATATATGTGTGTGAGCACACTGCTCTCCACGTTTATCATAACTGCATGCAGATGATGTTGATATGGCTTGTTTATTCTTGAAGGAAACAGAAGGTGAATTTGCATCTGACATTAAAGAGGCGACTGAGTGCAGTTGGTTATTACAAAGGAGAGCGAAAGAGAAGCCGATGCACGAAGCACCTCTATAGACAGAAAACATCAGAGCGACGAGGCTATTGCTTGCTTGCTTTTCAAACCTCAATTCTCCTTCTCCTCTTTGTCTGACATCTCTTAGAGAAGATAGAAAGGCAGCGAGGAAGGGCAGAAAAGGTTGTAGAGGAAATCGCACTGCCACTTGAATAAGCAATCAGTTCGGCAGCTACAATAACTGAGCCCATCATCTGAGCAGAAGAAAGTGAGTCTTTTTATAGTGGGTAAGATTGAAATCGGGAGCGAGAAAGGCAGGGGGGGAAATAGACATAAAAAAGGAAATTGGGGAAAAAGGGTGAGCAAGTGTGCAAATTTAAGGCGTTCCATCATCTACCAAACTCCTGCAGCCTTCCTCTTCCCTCCTCCCCTTCCTCTCCCTCCTCCTCCTCCTGAAGAGAGAGAGCAACAGCGAGAGTCACGCTTGCAAGCCAGAGAAGAGACGTCAAGAGGAGGATCTACGGAGGGGGGGGAAATTCCTCTCTCTTCTGCTGCCCCTCTTCGTTGCATCCTACAGGCAGCAAGGAGCGAAGAGGAGTCAGGAGGATCCGGCTGGCGTTTTTTTTTYYTYYTTTTTTTYCTACGCCGCTTCCCCGCAATTCCTGTGGCTGTGTCACAGTGCGTGGAGCGCAGGGAGAGCCACCGAGCGCTCGATCGGTGACATCGCTCCGCAGCTGAAGAAGAGTACCGAAGATCAGCCAGGATGCTTAACAACCTGACCGACACAGAAGAAGGGGACGGGGGAGCACAGAGCCAGGGTGAGTGATGGGGTGGGTCATGTGGTCGCTTGAACAAATAAGAAGATTTGCATAAATCGGGATGTTCACATGGTGATGCATGACATGCGGGGAGAGCAGCACTCTGCCGACGCAACAGCATGGAGGTAGAGTGTAAAGATGTTGCACACACACACACACACACACACACACAAAAACAATGTGCGCGAAGTAGGTTTGCACGCACAACCTGATTGGACTGAAGAGCATTGGAGTGTGTGTGAGAGCGTGAATGTCCGATTGTACAGTGGTTGGCCTGCTTGCCTCGGCTGCTGCTGCTCTTACTGCAAGGCTGTTGTGACAGGAATAGTAATGTGCTCACTCCAAACGATGGATTTTGATCATAAGGGCATTACAGCTTTGTCCAGCACATGCACAACACGCTCACCAACACGCAGCCACAAATGAACACACACACACGCATGCACAAACCATATAAAGCATTAAATTGCTCAGCCACTCAATAGATTGTTCATTCTCCATGGCAGCATGAATATTCCCACCACGTATGGCAATCTTTGGACAGACTGTATGGGCATTTGCACATGCACACACACACACAACCACTCATAAATAGTGATACTGAGCGACCACTGCTGCTAATCCCATCGTCTCCAGCTGTCAAAATCAGCCCTGCATCCAATCCCCTTCGCTCAATCTCGTGGTCTCTGCAGGCTTTCGGCAGATAACCTGTAGGCTGCTGCTTTGTGTGGATAACTGGGTTGTGTGTGACACCAGCACACACCTTGTCAGGCCCTGGAGAACATTAAACTTCTTGTGGCAAGCCCTGCACATAGCAGATCTGCATTAAATTAAAAATGCAGCATGACCGGTATCCGAAGTGTGACTACTGTTTTTATATCGCTGCCTCGATCGGAGTGAGAATAATGCTGCAGTCGAGGGTGTAGATGTGTCAAAGTAGCAGCTTCTCCTTAAGCTATCTGCATGTTTAAGGTTGTTGTGTCTGCGTTCCTTTTTTTAAAGAGCTTTGGTCATTGACCTCTTTAGGCTACTCTGAACATGAGCGTTAGCTACCTTTTTCATTTCTTCATCTCTCCCACTCTTCTTTCTGCACAAAACCTTCCTGCTGTTGTCAGGCCAAAGCTCCAAGGAGTGCACAAAGACAGGCTGCGGATGAGAGAACAGTCACTTTGCTGCTTCTTCTTCTACCTGTGAGGGYTTTATGATAAAAATAGACCAGCGCTGGAAACATGAATATTTAACTTAATGCGGGTGTCTCCTTTTATAATGTAAAAGGGGATTACAGTATTGTAGCAGCTATGAACTGTTAGGTTTGGGGAACATCAAGAACAAGTTGCAGAACTTCACATAAAACTGCATAGCAGGTATGAAATTGTTTGAGCATCACTGTGGCTGTGTGTTTCTGTGTTTGATCAACATTGAATTTTTTTCTGGTTTATCTGTGTAAGCATCCAGGTGTGTGCTGAGTGGTGTTTTAATGCTTACATACATGTTCATATTAAGTTCATCTTTCTGTGTTGAGCAGTGTGCCTTTGTATGTATGTGTGTGCTTCTCAGCCCGTCATCTCTGCAGCTATAAATAGATGTCAGAAAGTCTCGTTTGTCACCCTGTTCTTCTGAATTTTGTTCTGGACTAATACATTGATAAGACCCCTGAGTGCACACTAAGATGTGTTGGGACCTCTGGAGGGTTGAATTAATGTTTCACACGTCTCTTTTTCTTTAAACACATCTGCCAGTCTCTCTCTGTCTTTCTCTTTTGTCACTCTGCAGTAGCAGCATATCTCAGATTAGGACCTTAGTCACACACACACACACGCATGCATGCACACACCAACCTTCATCCCTCTCAACTGAATCACAGCTCTGCTAAGCTAGCCGTGCAACAACCTGAATAACTCTGTTTAGTCATCAGCACTATGCAGGGCAGCTCCAGTGATGTCAGACGTTGTCGCTGTCCGCTGCTCCACGGTGCTGAAAGCTAATTCCACCCTCCGCCACCCCTCCACCCCCACCAGCTCACAGGGCTGCCCGGCGCTGTCCAAGGTGCTGATTTACAGCCTTCATTACACGGCTGGATTACAGCCTGGAAGAGCTGCATTCTGCGTCGGGTGGAGGTGTTTCTGTTTGCAGGAGTTTTTATTTATTTATTTATTTATTTATTTATTTATTTATCTGTGTACTTTATAGACATGCAGAGACAAAAGAAAAAGCTCTAAAGAAAATACAAAAAAAGGTCAACGGGCCACTAAATAAAGTGCATGGCAAATCATTGTCAAGTTAACATAATGATAGGATGTGAAATTGTTTTCCTATTCTGTGGTTTATCAGCTTCAAAGTTTTCTCCTTTAAGGTTCTGAACCTGTGATTGAAATGGAAGTGAAATTTATTAGTTTTATATTCATTTTTCCTTTTTTTCTTTTAAGGTTAATTTGAGAAACTTTAATGGTCGAGATAGAAAACTATAGAAGAGTGAGAAAGTTAATGCTGCTGTTTATAACAAGTGTTGAACATCATGTTTATTAATATTAAATCATCTGAATATTTAATTCTGTCATGATTCTAATATTGAAAAGCCACTGTAAACAATGTTTGCTCAGACCACCAAAACATTCAGCATTAAAAGTTCTCTATTCACAGGAGCTGTCATTCAACTGCAAAGATTCTCATTAGCAAGAAGTGATTTCCTGCTACTTCACAGATTATTTATTTATTTATTATTTTCAATTGTTCCATTGACATATTTGAGTGTCTCATTAACTTGTCAGTTCAGTTTATTTGTAGAGGTTTTGATGCAAGGCTGTTTTTTTTTAGCTTTTTATAATCGCCTTGACTTGTGCCGGGACAAATTCTGTGGTTTAACTGGGCGGCTGACAGCTGTTTGAGTCCAGATCCATTATGTTATGTTATCCACACAAGTATTTAAACAATACAGTATCTTGAACATTATTGCTGCAAGAAATATTAGTGTTATAGATGTCACAGAAAATGTCACAAAATAAATAATGTGCAATGACAGGTGTAGAATATTAGTATCAACTATAGTTCAAAAAAGACAGCACTTTTTATTAAACCTCAACAGACTATTTTAAAGTAGGGCTTTTATATGAACTTCTTTCAGGAAGTACTGCAACTAAATTAGCAGTAGCTGAATAGCTCATATCATGAGCGGCTGTCAGAGTGATGAGAATTCACTATCAGCTTAAATGTTTAATCTCCTGAAGCTGTTTGGTCTAATATGTTGATTAAATAATTTAAATATTGTGACTTGTTATGAGACGTAATTGAATTAAGGTTAAATTTCATCAGAATGCTCAGGAGTATTTGTCAGGAATGTAAAACAGATCACAGGATTATCACTTTGCTTGCAGTCAGTGATTATTCAGAAACTGCCTGTAGYAAAGTTTTGCTTTGTTCTCTGGATTTGATTCAACCAGGAGATAGTTTTAGACAATCAGTACTGTCCTGCTGGTACAGTTTGAGTATGGATTATGTCAAACATTT